AAAAACCCCAAAAAACCCCAAAAAATCTCCCAAAAAATCACCAAAAAGTCACCAAAAATCCCCAAAAAATCACCAAAAAATCCCCCAAAAATCCCCCAAAAAATCCCCAAAAAAATCCCTCCGCACCCCAAAACCCCCCCCAAAAAAAACCCCAAAAAACCCCGAAATCCCCCCAAAAGCCGCCCTGGCTGAACCCCAACTCTGCTACGTGCTGGACGCCGTCCTCTTCCTCATCATCCTCATCCTCAGCGGGCTCTACCTTCGCCTCAGGGTGAGGGGGGGTCCTGCCCAACCCCCTTTTTTTGGGGAGGGGTCCCCAAAATTTCCCATTTCCTCATCCCCGCCCCCGTTTTTTACCCTTTTCCCCCCTTTTTTTTATTTTCATTTTCGGTTCCTGATTTCGCTTCCAGCTCTCGATGAGAGGAGCGGCTCGGAAGGTCCGGGGGGGGTTTTGGGGGGGGTTTGGGGGATTTTGGGGGATTTTGGGATTTGGGGGGATTTCAGGGGGATTTTTTGAATGGATTTTAGGATTTTGCCGGAATTTTGGGGAGATTTTAGGGGGGTTTGGGTGGATTTTGGGGGGATTTGGGTGGATTTTGGGGGGATTTGGGGTGATTTTGCGAGGATTTTTGGGGGATTTTGGGGGGGTTTTGGGGTTTTTTGGGGATTTTTGATTGGATTTGGGGGTTTTGGGTGATTTTGGGGATATTTTGGGGGGATTTGGGGGGATTTTGGGGGTCTCCTGACCCCATAACCCCGTTCCTCCCGCAGCCCCCCGAGGTCGAGCCCGTTTATGCCGTGAGTCCGGGGGGGGGGAGGGGCGGATTTTGGGGTCCTCCCCCGATTTCTGGGGTGAATTTTGGGGTGTTTGGGATTCGGGGTGTCCCCCCCTAATTTTTGGGGTGCGATTTGGGGGTCCTCGCCCATTTTTGGGGTGAAATTTGGGGGTTACAGGGTGAGATTTGGGGTCTTCCTCATTTATGGGGTGAATTTTGGGGTGTTTGGGGTGTCCCCCCCCAATTTCTGGGGTGCGATTTGGGGCCCTCCCCCCAGTTATGGGATAAATTTTGGGGTGTTCAGGATTTGGGGTGTCCCCCCAATTTTTGGGGTGAAATTTGGGGTGTTTGGGACCCCTCAGTGTGGGGGGGTGACACTGTGGGGGTGACACTGTGGGGGTGACACTGTGGGGGTGACATTTGGGGGGTGACACTGTGGGGGTGACATTCGGGGGGTGGCACAGACCCTCCCAGACCCCCCCAAATCCCCGCAGGGTCTCAGCTCCGATCACCCCGACACCTACGAGACCCTGCAGATGAAACGTCCCTGACCCCCCCGGGACCCCCCGGGACCCCCCCCGGACCCCCCCGCAGCCCCCTCGGGCCCCCCCCGGCC